AAGGAAAATAGAAGTCACCTAACAAATAAGATGGTAAAAGAAAAATGAGATTTTAGCCAGACTCGATGGCTCAGCCTGTAATACTGCGCCTTGGGAGGCTGAGGTGAGTGGATTGCCTGAGCCCGCAGGTTCGAGACCCGCTTGGGCAACTTGGTGAGACCTCATCTCTACAATAAATCAAAAAATTAGCTGGGTGAGGTAGCGCGTGCCTGTAGTTCCAGCTACTTGGAAGGCTGAGGCAGAAGGATCACGGAGCCCAGCAGGCCGAGGCTGCGGTGGCCGGGAGTGGCCACTGCACTCCAGTCTGGGCGACACAGTGAGACTCCAACCCCCCCCCCAAAAAAAAGAGATTTTAATTTATAATTCTCCTAGCTTTAATGGTATTATATAACTGCAATGTTAAAAGTTATTATTTTTGTGTAGTCCTTTTTCCTGTTTCGTTTTTACAGGAACGAACATTTTACATTTCTTTCTCCAGAATGAATTGAATTATTTAAAAATTTGAGTTTCTAATTTAAACTGTACAAATTTAGCATAGATGCAACAAACTCCATGTTTTGTGGAATGAGCTGCTGATTGATAAGTTAAACATAACTATTAGATTTCTCAACGGTATTTAATTGACTTTGATGAATTTATCTACTTTAGTAGGTGGTCTGAAGGCAGAGTTGAAAAGTGACAACTTTTGGCATTTAGTAAAATAAAGAATTGAGAGTGAAATTGAATGCAGTTTTGATGTTAACTTACATTCCCTCTTGCATTTCCTATAGAACAAGCACATTTGTGCATTATATAAGATGCTATACAACACATAAAATTAGCTAAAGTGGGATACTTTATTTTTAGAAACACAAACACATGGCTCCCTTAAATAGAAAATAAAATAAAAAGATCAATAATGATCGAGGGAAAAATAATTGCTTCATGCTCGTAAAAAAGATCTATCAATGATGCTGATACTGTGGCCCGGCAGCTTGTGTCTCTGCTTTGTACGATCCAGGCATAGGCAGAAATACTATATTATGTACCTTCAGATTGCCCCAAAATTTCCCTGCAGGTGATCTATGTCAGTTTATTAATCTCACTTCTAGAACAAACCTTGTTTACAGTGTCCCTGAGATATATTTTGATTCTGTCAGAAAAAGACTAAAGTCCCAAGAATATATTTCAAGAAATTATTCTTGTTGCTTAGTTTTATTGAAAATCCATTAGAATGAAATGTTAGTGCTTAGCACAAAGTAAGAGCTGATTCTTTTCATGAAACGTTTCCCCCCCAAAGATATAGATATTTTTCACAATAATATTCATTATTTAAGATTTCATTTGTATATGCATTTTAAAGCAAGCGCTAAAAATTTCCTGTGAAAAGTTATATAGTAAATTATTTTGGCTTTGCAAGTCCTGTGGTCTCTGTTTTAGCTACTCAGCTTTGCAGTTGTAGTATAAAAACAGGCAAAGACACTAGGTAAACAAAAAGGTGTGGCAGTTTTTAAACACAATTTTATTTACAAAAGAAGCAGAGGGCCAGATTTGGCCTCTGACTTCTGCTTTAAATCATTGTCAGGTACAGGGGAACCTAGTTTCAGATTAAAAATAACAAATTCCAAAGTCAGAACAATTAAAATGTGTATTATTTTAAAGTAAGGAATTATTTACTAATTTTCCATGTAGCTTAAAGAAGCTATGATTTCTTTTATTAGGATAACTGAAAATTACACACATGGAACTAATAAATATTTAAACCTAAGCAAATAATGCATATTTTAATTTTGCCTAGTTTATTCAGTTTTAAAAAGTGTTTATGCATTTTAGAGAAAGAGAAATACATACAGAAACATTTCAACCATACAACTACGTGCTTCAACAAGAATAAATTTCTTTTCTTTTTTTTTAAGTTAATCAATATGTTTTATTATGATGTTGTGGGGTACAGTTAAGGGTTAGGTATACAAATACATTTCATTTAGGTACCCTGTTGATAAGAGGTGTTTCCCCGTCCCCAGAAAAATTTCTTTTCTTTTTTTTTTGAGTTGGAGTCTCACTCTGTCACCCAGACTGGAGTGCAGTGGCCGCTCCCGGCCACCGCAGCCTCGCCTACTGGGCTCTGGTGATCCTTCCACCTCAGCCTTCCGAGTAGCTGGAATTACAGGCATGAGCTACCACGCCCGGCTGATTTTTTTGATTTATTGTAGAGATGAGGTCTCGCTGCCCAGGCGGATCTCGAACCCGCGGGCTTAGGCAATCCACTCACCTCAGCCTCCCAAAGGCATGGGATTACAGGCTGAGCCACCGAGCCCGGCTTAAAATTTCTTTTCTTAAGGATGTTACTCAGGATTAAATGTTTGCAATTATTTTGGAAGCTTACAAATTTACCTATATGGAATCACAGAAATTGAGACTTTAAAAATTAGGGAATAGTGGTAATTTAGATGTAATTGTAACAGATTTATCACCAGCAATCACACAAAAAATAACCTATACACCCATTATATAAAGAAGATTTGGGCTGGTATTTCAAATTCAAGTTATATGTAGAAATATATGCCCACTGGATTTAAATAAAAATGGAAGAACTTTGGGGAAGCTAAACTTACTATTAGATGGCTCCTACCTTAACCATTCCACTTAACGTAATATTACTAGAGACTGGGAACTTATTTTTTGCATTGTTCAAGGAATGCCGTGTATTACTTTACTCCTATCCAATGCCTTTTCCCTAGGTTCTATTATGCCACACCCTCCTGACTTCACTGTTTCTACTTACTTAAGCCATATTGCTCTAGAAATTCTAACTAGTTGCGTACTTTGTGTCAGTTACTTAACTGCACTTTTATAATGCATATAATAATACTAAGCACCTCATAGAAATGCTGTAAGTTTTAAATAAGTTACTAAATATAAAGGCTTAATAGTGTAGCACACATAGTAAGCATGGAATGAATGCTACCTATAATTGCTACTTGTCTTCTGTCTACTTTTTCTTCTTTTTTAGTTTGCCTTCTAATTTTTTTCTTAAGATGTGGTTTCCCACCTTGCTTTTAGCATTAGTTCACTTTGATTTTCATTTAGTCAAAGGTAAGCTGCACTAGGAGAGACATCACTGCATTGTGTCTAAGGGTACAAAATTAAAACCAGACAATCTGGGCTCAAAGGCAGACTGACTTCACAGCCTGGGTAATCTTATGCAAGCAACTCAATCTCTTTATGCTTCAATTGCTTTATCTATAAAATGGGGACAATAAAAATATCTACTTTATAGAACTATTACAAGGATTAAAAGTAGTAATAGTGCCTGGCACGTGGTATGTATTATTTAAGTATTGATTGTTGTTATATCATTCTTATTTTTATTATTCCCATGAATTTAATTACTACCTCTTAGCTGATGTCTCTAAAACCTCCTTTCCCTTTCCAAATCTTCCCACTGGGTTTTATATTGCTGAATATGCATATGCCAGCGGGACAGCTCCATCTGCATACTTTACAAGAGCTTCCAATTCAACACAGCCAAAAATGAACTGAACATCTTTCTCCCAAACCTGCTTCCTTCCCTGTATTATCTGAATCATGTTATTGTCCCATAAGCCACACAGACACCCAAACAAGGAACATGTGAATTTTTTTGGCTGCTTTTCTTTTATCTCAAATATTAAATCCACTTAATATTATCTCATAAAAATTGAAATCCTTTTTTCTTTCTTTTCTTCTACCACTGTTTAGTTCATGTGGTAAAAAAAAAACAACTTTCATTGAATATTGAAATACCTTCTTAGAAGGTCTTCTAGACATCTTGCTTATCTCTCAAGTCTATGTGCCAGTTTCTAGAGTAATTTGTCTGAATAGTCAATGTTGTTCTCATTGACTAATAGAAGTAAAATGGATTCCTTGATCTGTCTGCTAATTTTTGCATGCTCATTTCCAACCATGGTTTCCATGCACCATATTGTTTCTCATCTCCATATCATGGACTTATGTTATTCTCTTATTATTACTCTCTACTCATTCGTGAAGAGGTGGCTCAAATATTACCTCTGCCATGAACCTTTTCCTTATTGGACATCATGCCACCTTACTACCCAACCTCTTGGTTGAGACAATTTTTTTTCCTTTGTTTCAACAGAACTTTTAAGGAACACATTCATCATAAGTATCTGTTTTTAGTTTTGTCTTCACTATAAGATATAGGCTGCACAAGAGCTAAGACGGTGACTTACTCACCATTCATTAAAGTAGACGGAGTGAATATTTACTGAGTTAAAAACAATAATTGTAGACATTTAAACAGAGAGAATAGAAAAGAAGGTCCAAAAATTATTCTGAGACATTCAACAGCCTTCACCTGTCTCAATTCTACTGAAAAGTATAGCGAAGCATATTGCTACTATGTGTACGAGGTAGTTGCCAGTACCTCAGCTTGCTTTGAAGGCATAGAGCACACTGAGTCAATGAAAAGATACCTGCACACACATTTATCACAGCATTACTCACAACAGCAAAAACATGGAACCAACCGTGCTGCCCATCAAAAGTGTCCTGGATAAAGAAAATGTGGTACATATACAGGATGAAATATTATGCAACCATAAAGAAAAATAAAATTATGATTTTTGCAGCAACTTGGATGAATTTAGAGTCTATAATCCTCAGTGATCTATCACAGAAACAAAGATCTGAATACCACATGTTCTCACTTATAAGCAGACCCTGAACATTTATCATAATACTGTAAAAAAGAGATTAGCAGTAGTGGGACACTGCCAGGGGAATGAGGAGAACACAACATCAATAAAGATACCCAATTTCAATGCAGGTGAAGTGGGGACAAAAGAGAGGCACAAATTTTACCAGAACAATGACCACATAATACCTAACCCTGAATTGTACCCCACCTCTTTAAAATAAAATAAAATAATTAAAAAAAATTTTTAAAAAGAGTTAATGTCATATGTTTGAACATAAAGGTTTATACTTTAATACTGTGTTCCTATCACCTAAATTACTTCCTCCTTCCAAACTTTTATCCTCCCCTACATACTGTGTTCTTAATATAATAAACAAAGTGACCTTTTTAAAAACAAATGTTGATCATGTCACGACTCTGCTGAAAACTACTTAATGTTTTCCTGTTTAATTCAAAGCAAACACCAAAATCCTGTATAATGGCCTATAAGTCTCTCATAAGCTGTCCCTGCCTCACTGTTCTATTACATACAGCTTATTATTTTTTCTATTATCATTCCACTTTAGCTACTCTGCCCTCCACACTGATGTTCTTTGAATATATGAGGTGCACTTCTACCTCAAGGGCCCTTGCCTCTGCTGTTCCCAACATCTAGAAAGTTCTTCTCCCTTATTGTTAAATGACCTATTCCCTCACCTTTTTCAGATCTTTTTCCAAATGTCACTCTTTGGGGGACCTTCTTAGTGAGAACTTCTATGGTCACACCTTTAAAATTCTAACCCCTCCCTATAAGTAATCTCCCTTGTATGTTTCTCTTTATCATCACCTGATACATTAAATATTGTTTCTATTTAGTCATTACTATTATTATTATCTTCCCTGTTTTCCAAAACACATGTTCTGTGAAAGTAGGGCATAATAGGCACTTAGTAAACAGTCTGTTAGCTTAAAAAAAACATAAAATAAGGTAGAATACTGAGTTTTACATATCCATAGGCTCAAATGAGGGAACACACTTATTTTGCTATAGAAACGATCATCTACTAAGAAGCATACAGTAGAAGCTTGAAAGAGCAACTAGAGCACGGAAGTTTATTGATATGTACATTGTACACATTAAATAACAATGGTTCGTGGTGTCAATGCGTAGAGCGGGAACTGTTCAATATGGGCAGATTCTGAGACATGCAAACATGAGGAGCAGTGGCTTTGTCATCAAGGCTCAGCAGCATGTGCCACTCAACTCTTGCAAAGAAAAAAATATATAAAAGGATCAAGTTGACAACAGGAGCATGCTTCAGAAACTGAATTCCAGAATTTCAGTTATGAACAGTTTCCATTTGATCCATGTCCCAAAGCATCTGAAACTGTATTTGGAATTCTGACTTCAGATTTTGTGGTTTAGTAGAATTACATAGAAACTTTGATCTGAATCTATTTTACTAGCTGTGAGTAACCAGAAGAGTTCTTAAACATTTTGTGTCTTACCTCATTTATAAACAAATTTTAAGAAAAAATGATATATTCCTTAAAATGCACAAAGATCAGCCATTGATACATAGACAATGAATGTGAAGCAGAACAGGTTTGCAGATAGGAATACTGGAGTACAGACCTTGAGACTGTCACTGATCTTATGTATAAGGTATAACTCTCTCAATTTTCCTTCTGTATATATAATATGAGGATCATTATGTCTAAAGTACAATTGTGAGGTCTAGGAATAGTAAGATAAGACACCTACTCAATGTCTGTGTACAATAGATACACATTAAACTATAGCTTCATCTATTGATTCTGTCTCTATTAAGACTCCTTTTCTCTCAGGAAATTATAATAACTGATGCTATTTGTAGTATCCAGTATACCTATATTTAATTTACATTTAATATATTCATGGAAACCAATTATAACATCAAAATTAACTAGGTCATCAAGCTAAAAGAAAATGTTCTCTCTTGAGGTACCTAGAAAAGCATTCAATAATATTTATGGAATGAATAAAATATATAGAGATTTTATATACTGTATTTAAGAAATCAGGATTCTATAAGTAAAGATTTGAGAGAATTACTATAATAAAAAATTTGGAAACCAGATAACTGAGTTTCTATACGCTTTCTAACAATTCAGGAATCTAGAGGTTTTCGAGATTAGTTTGGGCAAAAATTTTATCCACATGAATACGTTGTTTCTGAGGCAAGAGTTTGAATTTGAACAAGCAGACACCCCAGAATCAAAAATTTTAGTTCAAGGAAGATGCATATACTCTGTAGTCTGACAAATTAGTGACTTCTCATGGTTTATAGCTTCAGTGACACACCTTGATGGCCTTTATGAGGAGTCCTCTAAAAAGCATTCCCATGGGAGGTAAGAATTGTATAGGTAAACTTAGACATCCTTTACAATGGTCTAGATTTGATAGTAAAGTGATTTTATTATATATTTTATAGTAAATTAGACATGGCATAAAAGCCACAAAATAGACTTTAAATAAAATTAAGGACTCGCATGCAAAGTCATTCTGCTTTGTTTATACAACATGTACTTTCTACCTTTAGTGAGGTCAGCGATTTGGTTTGCCTCTTTCAGATTGTGAATAAGTCAGTACATATATTGCTATACCTAAAAAAACATGTATTATCTGATTATCTGATATAAATTTTAATGCAGAGAGTAAACTCTTAATTTCAAATAACAGTAAATAAGTAGAGTGAGAGAAGTGTGAATACAGTTGAAAATAGGTACCAAAAGTTATGAGAAAGGAGAAGTAGGTTATATCAACAATATGAGAAGGAACTTTATAATTGAACATTGATGGATGCAGTATGTCAAAATAATTTGGTAAAGATTTCCAAATGAGGCAGATTATGGTGAATTCCAAATCAGAAACAGAACATACTGAGTAAAGAAAATAACTGATAGAAGAATTACTTCTCTGTCTTAGGAAACCATTAAACTTGGAAGAATGAGGGAATATCCCCCAGGTTCTTTCCTACCAAGTGAAGTATGAGAAATTTAAAAATTCTTTTTACCTTAGATTTGTGAAAAGGAAAATACTTTAATACTAAATCAACAGTGTAATTCAAAGCAATATGCTATAACATCTTGGGGCATATGTTTACTCTTATGACATCATGAAAATTTAGGTGAATTTTCCTTTCCTGATTGCATTTTTATATTATTTCTAATAGCCTTTGTTAAGCTGAGGTGTCATTCCCTCTAAAGACTGTCCCAAGAACCACAGATTTACAAATCTAATCATCTCCCGGAATGTGCTGTATGATTTTAAACCAAAAAAGTAAGGTTTTTAGTTTCACCATGAGCTAAAGAAAGTGGCATAAAAAGTCCAAGTTTTTCCACATCCAGAATCAGTAATTTTGGGTTCCAAAGACAAATGTTTGGTCTCCAGTGCCAAAACGAAGCAAAGACTTCCATGGGTTCCCTTTCTATCCAATATGCATGTATTCACTCTTCCTTATGACTTAAGGCAGGTCTCTAGAATTTCTTTCCCCTCCTCAACTTGCAACTTTCTCTTTACCAAGCACCATTTCTCCATTATTCACCAAGATCTATTTCCTTCCGATATGTCCACTCTTTTTTCTACTTGCTAATTTTATAATTCCACTTTTGTGGAAACCAAGTTCAAATGACACATTCACATTAGTGATCTCCCTTCCCCAACCGCTGTATGCCCTGGACCTCTCCCTGTTCCTGTGTACAGCTCAAGGGAGTTCCCTTGAGTCATATCTTTTATCGAGTAACTGCCTCTATTCTATACACGTGCTACTTGAAATGCAATCTACCCTTCCATCTCTAAAAACAGCCAAGTCATTTCTCTTCCACCATTTAGATGATTACAGAAATATAATCTCCACCACTAAACCTGCCTAAAAGGATGAAAGAGCTGAGGCCTTTTTATTTGTTCCCAGTGAACATTAATTCTTGTGTCAATGTCTCATATGTGATTTAAAAGCTTTATTATACAACCAGTTTAATGTTGCAGCTGCATCATTATTTTAATTCAATTATTCACATGTCTAAGATATATGTGTTAATGGAAATTAAGTTTGCTATTTACTTTTAACACTATCTTGGGTAACACAATTTAAGATTATTATTTTGATGACATGTCTATAAAATCATAAGCGCCTCCTTAAAAAAAATTCTACAATTCAAATGATTGATTTGTATATGTGTGTTTGAAGTATTTATTTATATATGCACATAACATATAAAATCTACATAGTATATAAAATCTACATGTATTTAAATTTTATATATATCACATGTAATAAATAAAATTGACTTTTTAAAGACTTGCGTAGTGCAACAGAGTTTCATTTTTAAGCATTCAAAAAATCATCTATGTACTGATCACATACTATATGCAAGGCACCATGGAGTGAAGATGCCGTTATGAGTTACCTCTTTTCTTGTTTCACGTCCTTTCTGAACAAACCAGATAACTTTTGCTTGCAAAGATCGTGGAGTGCATTCCAGCAAAGTACTATTGTTCTCTACGCCATAAGCCAGTCGCACTTCAGTCTTATCCAAAGCATCCCCTACAACAGGAAGTTCACATCAGCCTTGAGACTCTGATATTACGGGTAAATAATTTTTAAAGCATTATTTAAATCTCTGTAGCAACATAATTAATGCTCTGTTCATTGCTAATTTCTATGCAGAGTTATTTAGAGCGAGTAGCATACAAAAATCTGGGCATTAAAAAGGCAAGCAGGCTACAGGGTGGGACAGAGGGGGTAACTGGGAGTTTGGTTCCGATGGGTGCGACAGCCTGGACAGCAAGAAGTTAAACTTATGAAAAGTGAATGGCAACATATATTGATAAAGTAGCAAAGAGAAGGTGAGTGCCAAATGTTCATGCAAGACATCAGACTAAATCGATGGTTGAAAACAAAACCAGAAATATAGGCAAAATAGCACTATATAAACACGAGTGTGAATGATAATCTTGACAAAGGACTATGCTTATCTAGTTGTTGGGCTCCTATAGTAAAAAATGAGTATAAACTCAACTACACACATTGTGAAATAGAGTTTCTTAATTATAATCTATGTAGTGTACCAGAAAGGCTCTTATTAGACTTGAACTCAAATTTGCATACAGGCAGGTTTACTTAGCTGTCATGCGGAATAAAAACAAATGGAATGATTTTTTTTTTAATTTTAACCAAGACAAATTACATAACTAGATCTCTGATTTTTCTTTTCCTATGCCTAAAATCTTCCTCAAAAGTGACCTGTAAACTTCTCTAAGATTAAGGTCCTTCCTTTCTCTGTATTTCCAGAGGCTTGAGTCCTGCCAGGAAATCTGAGTCTGCCTGTGGTCTAGCAAACTGCTGTTGGACCACAATGTTTGAATCTGTGTAGAACCACTTCTGGTCTCTCAATTATGGTGGCCCTTCCTCCTGTGGCTTCTTTAGGAGATCAGTGACATTAAATGCAGCCTGTCCACCAATCACCGTAATAATGTGAAGAGTTAGGAGAGTGTTTATCTGTCTTAACTTCCTTACATTTGACTAAAGCTGAAATTTCCCCTCATCTTTTACCCACCAGACCACCTGTCACTCCTCCTCACCACTAACCCCAGCTCTAGGTTATTAAACTTCAGTAAAAAAGTAAAAGCTTTTCACTTGATTCTATTCTAAAGCTCACTAGGTGATGCGATACAAGTTAAATCACTCAACAAAATCACCAGAAGTTACACTACATGGTGAAGCTACTCCCGGTATGAGATAAAGACATGAGTTATACCAGTCACTGCATCATCAACCACCTAAAGTATGCAGCATTCTTGTTTCAGGATCCCTTTTGGAGGTCTAATAGTAAAGCTTATTTGGGGTACATCAAACTTATTTTCTTAATTATGTAAAAAGTATATGTCAGTTGCATTATTTTAGTATATATTAACCACGAAGAAAAAAGACTCTTTTTAAGAAGGTTAAAGTTTATCTTCAATGTACAGACTAAGTAACCCATAACCACTGATTTTCTGTGAATTACCAACAAACTGCTGTCCAAAGCACTGCTGAGCTGCATTTCCATGCCGAACATCTTGTCTCCGGAACCGCCTGAAAGAAAGTAAATGCATTTAGGAGATGTTCATATTTTAATTTTCCAGACTTTAAAATACAGACTTTAAAATACAGACAATCACATTAAAGATTCAAGTAGTATTCTGCTACTGAAAAAAATTGATCATTATATGAAATAAGGATAAAATCCAAGTTTCATAGTTTTTCTTACTTCCATTGGATGTTGTTTAATGGTCAAGATCTATGTAACACTGTTTTTTTAAAGCACTTACATAATTTTAAATTCTGGAAGCCCCAGCAACAATTTAATGCATTTCTCTTTTTATTTTGTTAAAAGTTTAGGCCGGGCTTGCTGGCACAGCCTGTAATCCCAGCACTTTGGGAGGCTGAGGTGAGTGAATTGCCTGGGACCACGGGTTTGAGACCCACCTGGGCAGCTTGGTGAGATCTTGTCTACAATAAATTGAAAATTAGCTGGGCATGGTAGTGCTCGCCTGTAGTTACTGCTACTTGGAAGGCTGAGGCGGAAGGATTGCCTGAGCCCAGCAGGTCGAGGCTGCGGTGGCCATGAGTGTGCCACTGCACTCCAGTTTGGGTGACAAAGTGAGACTCCAACTCAAGAAAAAAAAAAATTAGTTCAACAAGAAAACTTGTGGTTTGAAATGAATGTCTTAGTTGATAAGGAAAGTGTGCAGATAAAAATAATGGGATTTGAGTGGAGCATTCATTTACTACAAAATATTTATTTCAACTATAAAAGTCCTGTATATTACAAATAAAAAGGCATCTGAATTTAAATATTTTGTTCTATAACCATCATAATCTATTCAAACAGAGTTGCTAATAAAAAGAGATAAACTAATAATTTACTGTCCTCAGCTTGTTCTTTTATGTGGATATAACATTTAGAAAGCATATGCTTTGGTTCAATGTGACCGTGTGTCACACGTGTTTAATGGGATGTTGTATACTTGATTGATGGTACTCAAGAAATATTAGTTTTTTTCCTTCTTAATTTGCCTATTGTAATTAGAATAATTACTATTATACTTTTATATGTCATAGATTGCTTATATAACTGAGAAAAATATAATATTCTATATATATGGGGAAATATTCCAGAATACCTATTATATTTTAATTTGTAGGCATCTTTCTGAGAAATTAACAATACATATTATCAATATTATTACTGGAATTCTAAAATTAAAATCTCTGGTATACTTAGTTTAGCTTAGAGATTACGATAGAAATATTACATAAAGGTGACAAATACCACTTGCTTCTCTAATTCATGGCACTTCTTCAATATTGAGGGAAAAACAAAAGGCAAGGCAGAGTTTTACCCTGAGGGTGATGGTAAAGTTTCCAAAGTGATGAGCTGTTTTAACCATATGTAATGCTAAAATTTGGAAAAGTGAACCAGATTCCATTCCGAGGCCACCACTAACATTGTCTATGATTATGCGCATATTTCTTCCCTTTCCTGGCTCTTTGTGTCCTCCTTTATAAAACAGAGTTTGCTAAATGACACCTAAAATTTATTCCAATCTCCCTCTCTCTTTCTTTTTTTTCTTTTTATTCTACAGTGTCCTGACTGCCTCCACATAACAATAATGGAATTTTATTTCAAGAGGTAAAGTGCTTTCTCACATAGGAGTTCAAATCTTATTTAACCACTTAATAGATATTGAAAACTAGGGCAGATGGACATTTCCAATAAATTTTTAGGATGATGGCCTATGTACAAAAGCCTATTCTAGTTTTGTTTTTTTTAAACGTATAGGTCGCTGATTAGAAAACCTTACCTGAAGACTAGAGGTTTTACAAAGTGAAGACTAAAATTTCCACATGGATCACTCTACTGAACTGGATTGAAAATAGAATTTATTAAAAAAGTAGCAAGCAAAAGTAGAAAGCTTTATATTATTTTATACTACAATGTGTAACTATTATACAACTGATAGCAGATCTAGATGAGAATTAAACTGCTTTGTTAATATCTTAGGTTGTTGAGTATTGCTTCAATATTGGAAATCTAAAGTCTGTTGAGCAATAAGGAATAATGGATAGGGGTAAAAGCATTGAAATAAGAAACGGGTTGACGTATTGTATCAAGATTTTTATACAAGTGATGTGAGATAAAAGGAACTACAATCAAATAATTCTAGATAAGCGGTATAAATAATGCAAAGAAATTGAAAATTATTGCAAACATGCATTTAAAAAGAAAGATATCACACTCTTAGCAAGGCTTCAGTTTATTTTATGCTATGACAATACAGCTGTCCTTTATTTCAGCAATAAAAAAATACTAGAATCAGGAATTTGAGAAAGGTTGAGCAAAGTTGCCTTTCATTCTCATTGTTTTTGTGTCTATTTTTCTTATAACTTTAGCCTTTTAGAAGCTTTTAAAGAGAATACTGGAAATGGACAAATCACAAGAGTAAGGGGAAGAAAAAGACCTAGCTTTAAAAACTGCAGTGTACTTTGGAAGACCATTTTAAACAAGTGGTTTGGGTTGTGAATTAATGTTCTTCCCCTGTTGACTCATTTTCACTCTATGAGCAGAAAAGTATTTATTTTAATGACCAGTTTTCAATTTCTGCTTCTATTCAGGTCTGAAGCAAAAATGATCTGTTATAAAAGCAAACTATTTGCCCTTCATGTGCTGGAACTTATCCAAAAGGTTCTCCTCCAGGGGTGAGTGATGGTTCAAAAGAATTTGACACCACTGAAAGATCTCCATTTCATGTTACTGAACTGAACTAATTCATTTATGAGTGTGGCTTCTGACTCCAGCGTTTCATGCCTTCCTGTCTACTCTTGTCCATCCACTTGACTTTTTCTAGTTAACTCTTTTTGCCCACCCTTTCTAACTATATTATCAAGCTTATGGTCATGTACTCTCAAAAGATACATCATTTACCAAAAAGATTTAGCTAGAGAAACTGCTCGGTTAAAATTTATCACCACTAGAGTATGCCTAATACAAGACCGTATTATTCATAAGGATTTGTACAAGGATTATATACATTGTTATTGTTGTTAATAATTATTGTTGTTAATAAATAATTATATTATTTATCATAAAATTGCCTTCCTACTCTCATATTCTGCCACTTCACCCTTGATTCATGGAACTGCCTGGTTTTTCCTAAACATTATATGTTTTTGTGCAATTAATTCCCTTTAACTGAAATCTAGTTATATATCTACCTCCAAGATTGAGATCAAAGGTTGGATTACTTTGAGAATTAAATAAAGTATTATATGCATTATACTTAGTCCAGTACCTTATACATAGTAAATGTTCAGCAGTGAGCTACTACTGTCATTATTTACAATTCCATTCTTTACTTTTACCTCTGATTTCCTGTAGACAAGAGATTGTTACTTCCTCACATTCCTTGTACATAGTACAGTAATTGGCTGAGTAGTTGAATACATTAATAATAAATTTTTTTTTGAGTTGGGGTCTCATTCTGTTGCCCAGGCTGAAGTATAGTGGCAAAATCACAGCTAATCACAGTCTCCTCCTCCTGGGCTCAGGTAATCCTTCCACCTTAGCCTCCTGAGTTACTGAGACTACAGGCACATACCAACATTCCAGGCTAACTTTCTGATTTTTTGTTTGTTTGTTTGTAGAGATGAAGTCTCACTATGTGGCCTAGGCTGGTCTTGAACTCCTAGGCTCAAACAATCCGCCTGTCTTGGCCTCCCAAAGTGCTAGGATTACAGGCATGAACCACTGCACCTGGCCAATTTGTTCAAAAGTAATTAATTTTCTTAATCCTTTACTACAGTTGGCAAATTTCATTGAGAAATGGCCTCTGAAAGCATCATATCATTATTGGCTATATGCACTGGAATGTTAATTTGGCTCAAATGAAATTAACAAAAGTTTTGAATTAGTGAAGTTTCAATGAGATTCTACTATAAATGTGAACTTATAATAATAATACTAACCACACTAAATTGAATTAAACTAGATTCTGAAAAAGGTTGAAACAAAAGTAACCCAAAAAGAAATAGTAAAGAATAATTGAAATTAATACAAAATGCTTTTCAGTAGGGAAATTTCAAATAGTTCTATGTTTTGTGTTATTTTGTCTTTGGTCATTTTATCATGAGAAAAAAATGCTTAGTCTATTAAGGAATATGAATATTTCTTCTTGATGTATTTCTGCAAAGTATGCACAACTTCATATTGCTTGAGTGAAGAAATAGCCTTGTTCTTCAAAATACTTTCTGCACCTCAAGTTCTCTGTTTAAAGAATACTAGGATTTACCTTCTTTAAGAAATAGCAATGACTTCACAGAATTATAGACACTGGAGTTTGGTGGTCTTTAGGTGGCTTCATTTGTGTTGAGTTAAATCACACATTTCCTTAATTATACAGGTCATGCATTTGCCTAGGAGTTAAAATATTCACTTTCAAAATGAAATTAATGAAGACCAGCTGGTAGAGAGGACATGGGGCAAATGCAGGATGTATGTTAGAGCTTATTTATTTATGTTCCTTTTAAGTCTTTGAATTCCTCATGTGCAGTGGTTTGCCATTTCCACATTTTAAGTTTATCTAAACTCGTTTCATGTATTGCAGCAAAATTTCAAAAGAAGGAAGAGTTAATTCAAACCTGGGTAAAAAAATAAAAGACCAACAGCATGTTCACCTCCAGTCTCTGTGCACAATAATTCAATAATTAACGCACGTATTTTCAGGAAAAACTCGTTTTCAAAGCTTATATTATGAACAAAATATGACTATGATAATTTATTTAAATAAAAATAGCATTTTTTAATGGAATGTGTGGAAAAAAGAACAAGAATCACCTCCCTCCAAAAAAAGGGGGGGGGGCATTAAGTTTTCCTAAGTGGAAATATTCATTGGGTATGGTATCTCACCTTTTTGCATGAGTGCCTGTTGGGTAATACCGGGAGCAGGATATGCCATCCCAGGCACAGTAAGGGTCTCGAGCCAGGCAGCAGTCAGCACAAGCACTTCCATACATGTCACAGTGATGGAATCTGACCTGAGCCACAGCAGAAGCAGATCCAATATACAACTGTTGCTAGAGATCAGAAAGAGGTCATTAGCAGAAATGAGCAGAACTTTCAATGAGTAATCACACCTAGATTTCACATTTATACTATCGCCTCAGTGAATATTCACTTAAATTATAGCAGTTGCTCTGGACAGAGAGTGGAATAGTGATATCTATAAACTTAAATGCAAGATTAAAATTGCTAGACAGAAGTTGACAAGAACTTAAGAAGCTCTGTATTCTTTTATTCATGATCTTGCATTCCTTTAAAGATATATAGGACTATCCAATAAGACATCAGATAAGTAAATGGTAAATTAAATACTGACATATATCAAAGTGTGATGTAGATAGATAAAGAATGAAATGGAATAAGCTAAGATATGTTGTTAAGTAAAAGGAAAAGCAGTTGAACATTTCGTATCATATCTTCGCCTAAACATAAAAGGTTATTTATAAGTAAACTTGAGACAATATATGCAACAAGTGTTTCTAAAGTTTACATCACACTGAATCCAGCAAAGTGAAAGGAGGATGAGTTTCACTGCACACTCTTGACTTATCAGTTACCATTATTTTTTCAAAAACATTAGCAAAACAATAACTACAGAATAATGTGCTATCATGACTGTAGAACTAAAACTACTCTCACCTTCTTCCATATAAATCGAAAATGAAGACATATTAAATCTAAATCACTATATGCTTTTGTCAAAACCAATTAATGGGAACAAAATTTCAGCCAAACAAGATGAATAAGCTCTAGAGTTCTATGTAACACTGCACCCGTAGTCAGTGATAATGTATTGCACTTACAAATTTGTTAAGAGGGTAGATCACATGTGACGTGTTCTTACCATAATAAAATAATAAAAGAAAAATAAAATTATAACTATGCTTATATATAAGCACATATACTAATGATCTTATATCCTTTGACCTTAACTGATATGTAGAATACACACACACACACACACACACACACACACACACACACACACACACAACTTACTCTCTTTGAAGAAATTTCCATAGAAATAATAGGAACTGGGTCCTGAAAGTAAAAGAGTTTTATTTTTAAGAAAAAATAGAAATATTTGCCTTAATATGATTGTAAATCACTAAAATCATATTAGTATGTGAGTAGTTCTATACCAAGTAACCTATAGGTTTCATTTTAGTAAATCTATACACAAGTACAATTAAATTAAAATACAATTTAAAATTTTTTTGTAATGGAGTGGACACAGATGTAGATGAGAAAAGCAGTGAATAATCTAACTGGTTTACTGTTTGTGGAATAGTTTTTGTATTTGAACCTTAATATTACTTGTGTTTTGAAACTCAAGTAAATAAAATAATAAAGTCAGAATGTTCCTTTTATAAAGTAATTGACTTACTAGAAGTGAAACAGTTGTGACTTTGAATAGGTATTTTATTGCTAATAAACCATGTGATCTTTAATCATTTAACTTAAGCCTGAACAAAGTATATTTCTGTAGGAGATTCACCATAACACTCCACTGAATCACTCTGAAACTAGGATTCTTCGAACAAAATAAATAACCTGGATTTCTTACATCTGCACCATAGGAAAGACAATATATAGCATACCTTTGAAAGCCTATGTGTTATTTTAGGAATGTTGATTAAGACTAGAACATCTCTAAGGAGCACAACAAACTCAGATAAATTCTACAAGTTAAGAAACACAAGGCAGGTGAAATCCACTCTGGGGATAATTATTCTTTGAAAAATTATTTTTAAAAACAGAACATTTGATCCTTTTTGTCTGCTATAAAACCTTTATTCATCCATGCCTTCATTCATTTATTCATTCAGTCAACAATGTTTCTTAAGGGTTTATATGAACAAAACCCAAAGGTGGGTGCTGTTAATACGAGACTCATAGTCCCTAACATGAAATGAAACTTTACATAGCAACCCAATATGTACAGTAAACAAAAGCAGAGTTGCTCTGGTTGATGGAGAAGGGTGATTAGCTTTGGATGTGACTCTGGAGTGTCTGGTCTCTAGTACAGTCAAGACAAAATGTACTATTTTTTCATTAATAAAATCCTTTCACATCTACCCATTACATTCTTATACAGTCAAACGTTGTTATTCACAGATTCCGTATTTGCAGACTTGACCCCTTGCTAAAATTATTTGTAACCCCAATGTCAATACTTTCTGTGTTTTTCATTCACAGACACGTGGATGCCCAGGGTAGCAAAAAATCTGCGTCCCAGTTAAGACAGAACAAGGTGACACTGCCTTCTTCTTTATCTTTTATAGTGTAAACAAGTGTTCTTTTCATGGACTATTTAGTCCCGTGTTTTTTGCCTTTCTGTTCTTTTTGTTGGTGTCTTGCTTTTTAAAAATAGTTTCCAAGCATGTTACTGAAATGCTGATAGCATTCTAAATTCAAAAATTCTGTGGAGCACTTTAATGCAGAAAACACTTTCCTTAGATACACTTCATCCAGGCCTGAATTATAGTTCTGTTGCCTGTGAATAAAATGCTAGTTAATCAACAAAATATACTAAATATGGTATCTTTAAACACAAACAAGCATAAAACAAGGTTATGTATTGATCAGTTAACAAAAACGTTATAATCAGAAACTTGCAAGAACCTAGGCCTGCATTTCCCCCAGGTGCAATGGCCAGTATTTACTAATTCCATGTTCACGATGACTTTAAAGGCCAAAATTGGGCCAGGCACTATGGCTCATGCCTGTAATCCCACCATTTGGGGAGGCCGAGGCAGAAGGATTGCTGGAGGCTAGGAATCTGAGATCAGCCTAGGGAATATAATGAGACTTCATCTCTACAAAACAGAAAATCCAGGCAGGGTGGTGCATGCCTGTAGTCCCAGCTACTTCCGAGGCTGAGGTGGAAGGATTGCCTGAGCCCAGGATGTTGAGGCTGTTTTGAGCTATGATCATGCCACTGTACTCCAGCTTGGGTGACAGAGTAAGACTCCAACTCAAAACAAAACAAAACAAAACAAAACAAATAAACAAACCAAAGACCAAAACTGCTGTGAATGATGCAACTTGACTGTGTGTGTGACACACACCATATGCACACACACACACACACACACATATATATGTATGTATATAAAATTGCTTTTTTATGTCTAGTCATTTCATCATTATTTTATATTCTTTCTCTTTTTCAGTAAATTTTCTGTGTAGTTAGAACACTATCATATAAAGTAGTATGCTTCTGCCAGAATACTCACAATATCAAAACTTATTATTTTTGTCAATATTGGTAGTACATTTACTTAAGATATGACTTTGCAATAATGATTCTGAAATTCACATGTGGTATAAATGTTACTTCTTTACGGTCACAGTTTGTACACTGACATTCTTTTCATGCTATATAAATACTGGCTTCTTTATTTGGAAAGTCTATGACAATCAAATAGGTGTTTTGGGGCTTTAAGTAATCCCTCAATTCAATTTTTTCTGAATCCAAAGTACATTTGTTAGAAAACAATTGACATAATGTTTTTTCTATTTTCATCACACTTGTAAATGTAATGCATAAATTTGGGCTATATTTTTGACCTGCAATACCTTGAATATCTGAAGTTCTTCTAGAATTACTTCTTCCATTGATTCTGTTTCTTGGTTGTAAATTGTGATTACTTTCAGCACAATTCCATTATCTGTAGGAAAACAATAGATACACTAGAAGGTTTGTCACAAACTTGTTTTCAAATAATAAAAACCATGCAAGGACTATAAATTCAAATAAGATTTGAAATTCAGATTCATGAAACATTTTAATCACTGTTAATAAAAACAATATGACTTCTTAAAGATGCATATTTTCAATTAGCAAAAATTAATTTTATACATGTGGTTAACAAAAGTCAGACTAAATCATGTATAATTTTTTTGAAATAGTTTGATGCAAAAATCCATGTATAGATTCAGAAATAAAAATGTCTTTTGCAACTTATGAAATGTAAGAGAGATGTAAAATTATTCTAGCTTTTTTTTCTGTGATGTATAATGCTGTGATGTATAATGATGTATTTTTTTTTTTTTTTTTTACTAAAGCTACTTTCATGGTATGAAACAATACCTTTAGTCTTAGGAAACATTCCAAGAAATGAGAAAAGTGTTTGAGTCCTCCCTTGTTAATCATTTAGCTTTCATAATTATCAATTATTTTTAAAGTTTCTATTTTTATTTTAAATTCTTATTTTTACTATTTCTGATATTCTGAGCCTGTTCCTTTCCATAACAGTTTAATAAAACATTAATTTGCCTACACAAATAATTTGGTTTAGTGTTAGACGTACAAATTCAGAAAAAAATAAGCATTTTGGAAGTTCTGATATAATTTGCTGTGGTAATTCAGCAATTTTTTGAAAAATTATCAGATGCTATGAATGGAAAACTATTACAATTAAGCTATTAACAGCTACTTACATTTTATTTTGTTAATACAAGAAATAATGAGTAACATTTGGCTTATTTGGTACTAATAGTTAATCTTAAAGGAGTCTGACAAGAATTGCTATGATTATAAATTTAGGTGAAGTTATTATCCCAAGTTGTTTGCAAAATCTTGAAGCCTCCCTGAGCAGCCAAAAGCAATAATGGGACTGGGAGACTGATAAGAAGACCACTGATGCTATGACACTCTACTTCCACTATGAGAATTTCTATTTGGAACCAAGTAATTCATTAACATCTATTATTCATGTCTTTACTTAATCATTTGTTCAAATATATCAAGTATTGATCATGTATCAGGAATTATGTTCCAAAATAACTCCAAATCCTCTCTCTGATAGCCTCAATAGTTCTCAGATCTGAAACACAGGTGACCACATACTTTATTGTTCAAACCATAGCACTTTGGCAATGAATGTGGTAATAGCAATAATTATTCTCAGACAAGAGGCACAACCACTCAATGGTGCAGAAAGGACTCTATTTCAACCTTTCTCATTTTGGATTAACAGCATACAAATGGGCTAATGGATCAGCAGATTTGTGGACAGTTGCTTTTAAAAATATTATTAGCATCACTAATTTAAAAGCCACGAGTGCTTTCTCATCTCTTTACCTGTTCCAATAAACAAGACATCATATTGGCCATCCTCAGCTTCCACTCTATCCACTGCTATTTGTTTTAGGTTATATTTTCCATCTGTTTTTACCAATATTGGTTTTTTGTGGGCAGGCTTTATGGACTGGTACATTAGTGGATGACTTCTTGCAAATCGGATGGCATCATCGGGATAGTCCTTGGTGGTTCCATATCTGCCTCCATTTACTTTGCTGGCACACTGAAACACAAGTGATTAGATCATCGTTTTCCTTTGAAGCCTAAAGAGCAAATTTATAATCAATTATGAGAAGAAATAGAAAAATTGAATATGTTCAATTAATCAATTATGCATTTACAAATTTTTGTAATCCTGTAATTGTCATTACAGAATGAATCTGGATTAAAAATTGCAAAGACAAACTAAATTATTTTAAACATGCAGGATTAGAAATACAGAGAAAGTAGAAAAAACTTGGAAAAGTGAAGTCTATGTAATACCAAGATGGTTTGGAGGTAGGTGGTAAAAATGCTTAACATCATAAATATTCAAATTATTTTCCCTGTTTTTGAAATTTGTTTTTCACATTATAAATTAAATTTTGAGGGTACACAATCTCTTATTCATACAAAAACAAAAAGTCTCTTCGTTGTGCTGAAATTTCTCTCCAAACTAAGGTTCACAACTGTACTAAGTTGCTTTTCCATTACTGGGACTAAGATAATATAATCAATGACTCATTTTTATAGTCAGTGGCTCACTGGCTATAGAATTTTAGTGCGGTAACATGGAAACATATTCAAATGTTATTATTGTTAATTATTGATGAGAAAAAAATTTTTTTCTGTTTTACTACCATAATCTGTATGAGTCTGTGTTATTTTTGTATGGATTAGATACAATAAACTGGAGGAACAATAAATATTTGTATAACACGTCTTAATTTCACTCTAAAATGAAATGCTTAACAGCACCTTAAGTTGCTAATTGGAAAACCTTTAAATGTGTTGATGCATGCTTGTTGGTAAGTGGCTCCTCATTTTAAATATTTTCCCCCAGAACCAGCAGCAATTGCAATGATTATCTTGATAAAAATTTTACACTTTAGACAAACTAAAAACACAGTAGTTTAGTCATCAGATTCTGCAAAGAGGGCATTTATAATGGTTTGATTTTTAAAATCGGGCCATATTCCTTAATTTGGCATGAATTTTTCAGCTGGAGTGTACTTTCATGCTATATAATTGGAAACATTTTGGACTAGTTTGGAAGCAGTTCAGTAACCAGTCACTTCCTCCAAATCTCCTTTAAGACATGTGGTTTCAAGAAGCATTTCCAGCAGAGCCCCAGGAGTGGGTTTTCTCCACTTAAATTGTAATTTCAATCAATAGAGTGAAATAAAATATAGTTTATGTCTTACTGGAAGTAATAATTTTAAGCTAGTGAGAGAGAATGATTGAAATGGTAAAGTCTTACACTTGTTAATGGAGGTAAGGTTTGTTTCCACTTTGGGTTTTGGCTCTCTTGAAATGGTTTCTACTTGACTTGCAAGTAATTGTGGAATCAGTATAGTGATGGGATTTCACCAGCTGCTTGTAAAAGTGTAGACGTTGACTTGTGTGACAAGTAAATGCATGCTCTTCATTGTCCATATAGAACAGACAATGCTCCAACATTTTTCTATCCTAGTTGGACACAGGATGCATGATTCAAAGTCATCTTCATCATCGTCTTTAGACATGTGTGCAATAAATAGCACAAAATTTTGAATGCTAGGTAAGAAGGATCTTAGTAGGGCCAGTTCGGAGGCAAGTGCTAGAATTTCCAATATTCTAGCAACACTTTTGTAGTGGCATTTTTTTTTCTAAGAGGCCAGCAAGGATGTTAAATGAGGTGCTAAGTATCCTGAGGAGGTGGAGAAAAAACTTATTTTAGATCAGCTAAAATGAGAAGAAAGGAGATAGTTTGGCTTAGGGAACTTAGATGCTGATTCAAATATTAGAATATAAAAATTTGGTGACAATTTCTTGCTTGGAAATTACATCTGGGGCTAACTCTTTTGAAGAAGTTGAGAGGAATTTAATGCTCATTTATTGAATGTTTCTTTGTTCATTAAATAACAGGCATACAACTTGAAATGTGAAATAATATTTATTTACTCTACATATTTTTTATCAAGCATACTTTTAGCTATAGAATTTCTTAATTTGCAAAGTTTCATAAAGCATGTGAAATGGTGAACAAAATATTACCAAAGAGTCTTTAAAAATTAGTAATACTTTGCTAAACTTACAGAACCAGGCCTTGGATAAGGAACTTTGCCTTCATAGAGTGACCAGTGGTATTCAGGTCCTTCCTTATGTGCATATGGTCCATTAAAGGCTGCCCGGATGCTAGACATATGATAGACACATATAGCATGGCCTCGAAATATATTACTGAAAAATACAGAAAATATAATTACCATTCTACAACTAACTAGCAGGTCACCTAGTCAAACACTCTAGTATACATAGATAAGAGTCTAGTCTTTTGGGTAAAGAGTTGCAATTTCTTTAAGCAGCAAATACTCTAGAAATATTAACTACTGCTATATTTCAAGTATTACAATTCCAAAACTTATTATCTTTAACTGTTTATTTTATACAATTAAAAATAACATTGTTAGAATTACAAAAGTAGTTGTGTCGCTTCATTTTATTATTGTTAAATCTTGTATTATGGTTTTATATTTTTTATTAAAAGATCTGGTCTTAAAAAAGATTCATTCCCAAGTCAAATTACTCAGTTAATGGTATTGTCTTATTTTATGCTGTTCAATTTTCATAGCAAAGTTTTTTCTTAATTCCCATGCTGCTAATATTGCTACAAATTTTATTTAGATTGTATTAATTTTTTTAGTGTATATGAGTTAAAGAACAATTTAAAGTTTCATGAAAATATAGGACTTTGCTCCATTTTATATTATTTTATACCTTGCGTTTACATAAACATTAATATGCTTGCTGTATAAAAACTGTGCTATAGTGGAAAACCGATTAGAATGGATATATTAATCCTGAAAAAATATTTAAATTATTTGTAAAACTCAGATCCCTCATCTCCAGAAATAGCAGGAATTAAAATAATTTTCTTGATAAAAATTCTACTCACAGAAAGTAAAGATAGTAGTTAACTAACTATGGTGAGTTTTATTAGAGGCATTTGTAATCAGATTCTGTAAAGTTACATTTTGAAAAGGTTAAAAAATAAACTGGCCAGGAGATGAGGGGAGGATAAAGGGAAAAATGAATATAAATGTATTTATTTTTATACATCTGTACATTTAAATATAGTAAAGATGGTAAAACTTATATGCATAGTTTACATCAATAAAGATCATATAGCTGTGAAAAAAATATGCAACTGAAAAAAAATTAACTGCCAGGGGAAGAGGGTGGGATTGGCAGTTCAGGGAAACTGCCAGGGGAGGGATGGCCACCCCTCATCAACAATTGTACCTGCATAATGAACATTTGTATACCTAACCCTGAATTGTACCCCACATCTTTAAATAAAGGGAAAAAATAAAAGAAAATTTTTAAAAATGTAAGTCAAGTTTGCAATCACTGGAGTTCATTTAGGCACAGTTCATGTGGTCAATGCTTACATATCTTTGAGTGTAATTGGAGATTCAGAATAAACAATGAGAGCTATGTGTAAAATTAAAAAAAAAAACTTACCATATTTTAAAATTTGGCATGAAAGAATTATAACATTATCTCAGTCTCTGATTTGTAAGAATCAAAATAATTCATGTATGTGAAAATGCACTACAAAATACAGTTTTATATAAATATAAAATCTCCTACATCCAAAGTCACCTGTAAAACAGCAGTTATGTTGCTATACAAAGACATCAATTCACACTTTTTATAAGACACCTTGAAGCAATTGGAAATGCGTAAGATATTGGGAAAACCTGAGATAATCTCCAAACTAAAGTGGCAGTATACCTTTGATCACCATCCTAAAATATCAACCTTTCTGTCAGGGAACATCTGGGAAGCTTTTTTTTCAGATTTCTATATAAATTGAAAAATCAAAATTGAAATTATGGAAGAAAATCGTCTTGTCTTTGATTTCTCAGAAAGATACATTATTCAATCTTTTAGGAAAGTAGCTTATAAACTGATTATACTAACCAATAGAGAAATTTGACTGATTATCCCGTCTTGAATTTATTATAAAAAGTCATTAAATTATCAAGCAATATATAAATTATTCACTGGCATGAGGGAGAATACAAAGTAAAAAAAGAAGTTAAGGACTTTTCATTGCCTGTGATAACTATCAATCTGTTTTTCTTTGCACCAAAAATAATCAATCAGAAAAATTATTTTCCTGTTTCTCTGTTGAAAAAAAAGGGCTCCTTACAATAAAAGTATACTTCTCCCAAAAAATGTTTTTTTAAAGTAAGCATTAGAAATTACCTGCTGAAAAACCTAAAGATATGTGGACAGACCCTAAGTTAGCACAGAATGTGACAGTTTGTGGCCAATACAATGCAAAAGACTATCCCTGTCAAGAGAATTAAGGTATATTTTTATTTTTTATCCCAATCATTTTACCCCGTTCTGCCTTAAATTTGCAAGGATACTCAGAAAACAGTATACAAAAAAAATTTAGTCCAAACTGATTCTAATATTTTATTCATGTATCAGCACACATAAAATAATATTTTGTTCATTTTTACAGCACTTTACCAGAATACAAAAACATAAAGAGGATAGCAATAGATTATAAATCTTAAGCCTGAGCATCCAATGTAAAAGATGGTAGGGAAATCATAAACATGTGTTTGCCATGCATCAGCACAGGGGCAAGACAATCAGAATAAGAACGAGAAGAGGCCTTTGTGATTACAAACCAGGGAATATTTCTTAGAGATGGTAATTGACAAGTACTGAAGAACAAGTAGAAATCGGTGTTAGAAGAGAAAGTCATTTCAAGCATGATAGCGGAATAAATAAAAATATAGTAAGAGGAACTAGCAATGTAGACAATGATTAGGATCTGTCAAGGTATAATTTTGTCAAAAACAAAGCGTTAGAAAACCCAAGGGAAAAATTTCCAAAAGAGAGTGGGTAACAGTTGATAGCCTTGAAAGCCTGGCGTGGAAAATTCTATATGATGAATAAAAGACTATCCTAGACTCTATAATATCTATTACCGTGGCAACATGTTGTAAGAACTAGTATCTTACAAACTATGTGAGAAAAAAATCACTCTGTTGTATACTAGAGAGAGAAGAGATTAGGATGCTGAGCACAGGAGGATGCTGGGTACTATAGATAAACACAGGTAAAGGTTTGAATTGAGATTCAGGCTTTGAAAATGATTGTACAATGGTAAACACAGGAAACTGAAGGCCAAAACTGGTGACTTACAAAGTATAGAAAATAAGAACAGCAACTGCATCAATAACCTTTCACGTTATATACACAGTGAAATTCAGTGACACAACTTTTGTTTTATTGACTGTATAATTTTCTCACCTGGTAGTGTTAAAAAGTCCAAATATCACCGGGTTCTTATGATCTCTAGTAGGTAGCAGAAAAACATCCTCTGAAAAATTAAAGACCATTCTATCACTTAGTATTCTAGCCCTTTTTTGCCCACAAAGAAAATACATTAACATAAAATACTTTAGAACCTAATATAGATTTTAAGATATACATTTTCATATACAACCAAACAACCATGATGAAATCTTAACAGAGCAAATCATTTGACTGTTTTGGGTGACTTTGATCTCAACCATTGGAAGGAACTAGAGGCCTTGACTCTAAGCTAGTAAGATGAGTCTCTTTTTGTTCCCGCAATTCCATTGCCCCCATCAAGTAGGCCTGGCCAAACAAAAAGAACAAAAACCTGCTCTGTGTTAGATAGAGATCAAATATGTAGTAAACATGTTTTTTGTTTTTCGTTTTTAATATGCCATATAGATAAGGCTATAGGAAAGCATACACATCAAAGAGCAGAATTATTTCACCTAATAACATTTACCTAATTCATCAAAATATGTATCAATTCCATTAATTCCTGGTACTGAGCAAACCAGTCTCGCTTTTAGGAAAGTGCTCCACTTATTCACCAGTATTCTCTGCCCTCCAACATCATTCTGTGAAAAACAAAAAGATAAATGGTACCTAAAGAACTTTTACAAACAACAGGTTTTATATTGTCAAACATCCAGATGCCAAGAATTATGGCTTTTTCCTTGAACTAGGAAAATTTAACATCATCCTCAAGTAATAGACACAATTTTCCAAAATTTTGTTTTTAGGTTTGCACATTCTGCCTTTTCAGTGTACTCTGGTACATTGAATATATTTCCCAAATTGAAACAATATTAATAGAGGAGTCTCTTCAAAATAGAGGAGTGACTTTTATGATATAGTATTCATGATTATTATGTTATTAATGAGTAATCCACCTAACTCGGGAATATGGAAGCAAGCATTTCTTTGTCTTCCCTTAGTAAAGATAGCTTGAAATAGGAAAATACACACAATGTACATATTATGTATATACAATCTAATTATAGACTATTTCTTTTTAGTGTGACTCCAAAAATGGACAAAATTATACAAAATACAGGCTCTTTTAAGGCAAAACTTTCATTAGACATGAAGTATAAAAATTGGTATGCCAATTTTAGGCCATCTACAGAGTACTAAAAAATATTTTAACATGTAAACCTTTTATAAAATTAGCAAAGGCCTGACCATGAGATAAGCAAGCTTAATTAATGTGTACACATATGCATACACATATGCCACACATAATAAGCATATACAAACATACATACATATGTAAAAAACTTTTAATTGTATTCTTAAATATCTTCTTAAATGCCAACATAACTTCACATTTGTAATATTATTAGCATTCTTTCAATATATGTTGCTTCTTTGGCTGTTTTTAAATGTTTCCAAACAATGTCTCTGACTACTAAACAAACTACAGATTTTTTTAGTAATTTCAACTAACCTAATTGTTTAAAAACTTAGCTATATATATATTATTTAGACTGTAGACTAAAGAAACAAAAAAATGTTTTTGTTAAATGCATTAAAAAATAATATTCAAACTTCTGTTTAGGAATAAGTATAGTATAATTACAGACTATTTCTTTTTAGTGTTACTTCAAAAATGGACAAAATTATACAAAATATAGACACTTTTAAGACAAAACTTTCACTAGATATGAAGTATAAAGACTGGTATGCCAATTTAAGGCCATTTACAGAGTACTAAGAAATATTTTTAACATAGAAACCTTTTGTAAAATTAACACAGGCCTGAACATGGGATAAGCAAGATTAATTAATGACAGAGAAATCCTCACCACGCAAAGTCGCCCCACTCTGGTGTAAATTGTGTGGGCATTGTTTTCTGCCTCCTGGGCCTTCTCAGTAAAAAAGAAATATACTTTGTTGTCATCTCGGTCTTCATTGTCAGGAATCATGTATGAACCTACAAATTTTGGTTCTATAGAAGTAAAAAATAAAAGAAAAATTGAAAAAAATATAACAAAATGATAACAAGTTATTCCAAAAAAACTATATATCATTTGAACGCTTCAATGTAACCCTTATCATTCCATGAATAAATACAATCTTTTCTCTGAAATTTTTTACCAAGCATTTAAAATAGTGTAGATATCTCCATTTTACTCACAGTCAGCAGACTCTTAAGAATTAGTAAAGAAATATTTAATTAGAAAACAAAAGAATCGGGCAAAGAAGAACAATTTTGAATAACATGCATTGCAAACTTAAAATGTGTTCAGATAAGAACGGATTGGGGGTACCAAGAAGATGATCGCTAAACATTTCCTCCCACTGCAAATAAGAACTAAATATAAATATATGTAATATATTAAAGACTTCTATCATTACTAATTTTTTAGTTCATAAATTATCTACCAGTCTCACACATGAAAGATCATCTTAATTTTAAAGTGGAAAATTTATTTTGCATTTCTGGGTTTGTATTATAAAGGATTTGAATACATCACCTTTCATTGACAAGCTATGTGAAATATTTTAATAATCCATGTCATCAATACTGACTATGATTTTAAAGTTTAATAAAAATGTGGAAAGTGATGAAAATGCTCCTCAGAAAATGATTTTTTTTAGCCTCAGGATATGCCAGTTTGCCAAAATATACGAATTATTTCCTACAAAGAATTCTGCACCGGAGAATGACTAGTGACTTTTCTAGAGCTTTAGTTGTCTGTAAAATGTAATGTAATCTTATGAAAACATGCAAACAAAGCAATCAAATCATCAAAAATTATACCAATTGATAAGAGTAGACAAAATATCTTATTGGATAATGGCATTTTCGCTTTTCATACGTTTACTATGCTTTCTTTATATAAATCCTGATTTCTAAGCACATTAGAAAGAGAAATTGGTTTTATAATTAAGCCAATCCATTTTGATATAAAATGATATACATGAGATATTTTAATTCAAGAATATTTATTGAACACTCTGAAATTAATAAATGATATACATATATCACATGTGGTATTTTAATTCAAGGATATTCTTGAACACTTTGATATTAATAAAAAGTATAAATCATATTTACATTGCTATTATTATCAAAATGACAAAATTTCCTGAAAGTGTATAAGCTGGTTTCAGTCCTGATTCACATACTATTTTCTCCTCAACCTTACCTTTCAGCAGGCGTTCGTCATCATGCTCAGTGCGAATATGGGACAGTCGTCCCATGCTCCGGAAGATTGCAGCATCTCGGGCCCAGTAGTCACTGTAGAGTCCAGTAAATAATTCATTACCTACATGGATGCATTGGTTAAAAATAAGTTAGCTTGTCAATCTGAAGACAAGGTATACACCACAATTATATTAAACAATCCATATTTAATCTGTATATGTAAAATATGTACTTTATGGCATTTATACTGTTGTTAACAACATAGATGGTACAGTCAAATTGCCAGGGTCTGAATCTGGACTCTGCCACGTGCTAGCTATATATATAGATTTGAGCAAGTTTAGTAACCTTCCTGTGCCTCAGTTTCCTCATAAACGAATGAGAAAAGGAACAGCACTTGAGTTGTTAAGAATCAAGCAAGTGGAAGAGTAGCTGATAAATAGACCTATATGGATTTTTGGTAAATACCAAGTTTTCAATTTTTTTAGCTAACTTTCTTCTAGTCATCTCATACTTTTGTCATATCATCAGGGATTTATTACTATTATTGTTAATATTATTATTATTACCACAGGTATTTATGTGAGCCAGCTGATTCAAATCCTTCTTATAATAAGAAATTACTTTCTTTAATATGATTTTAGTGTGGGAATCACAAAGTCTGACAAAGTCATATATAATCTTATTAATTGTTTAATTTTTAGCATTTGGCTCAATTAGATAAAAATGATATTTTAGAAAGCTCAGAATGTAATCAGGCAGTCAACAGAATGACTGAAAAAAGCTGCAACATGTGGTGGAAATCACTGACAATATCAAATCAAGGAGCTATACAAATGTGTGCAGGGTCTCAAGCTATAACAATGTGTCTTTGGAGTCAAAAAGGCATTAAAAGAGCTTAAGAGAAGAGAAAAAATGATTTTTCTACAAAAATAAATAATATAAAGGTATAACTTGAACTCCAGAAAGATAAACACCTCTCAAGCATAGAGACATAAGATATTTTTCCTGAAATGACAAGAGGAAATCAATGTGCCCAACAGTGGCACCATGGCGACCAGGCGAATTGTTCTGGCCATACTCAGCTCAAGAGTCCTATCCCAGGAAAAAAGTCTCTAGCCAAGAAACAAATGCTAACAAGCAGATCACTGGAAACAGCAATCTTAATTTAGAATGGTAAAATTATTTTCTTAATGAGTGAGATATAGTTTTAAAATAGAGATGATGAATATATTACAAAATATCAGTACTCTTCTGTGACATTTGTAATGTGTGCCTATGTGTACACATGGTATTTAAAGAGCTCTAAAGTTTAAGAAAAATCAAATGAATTGTAATTCCACTTTACTATATCTAATTATACAATTAATTTTATATTTACAATTATTAAAGCTACAGGTATAAAAATATGACCAAATATATGAACAGAATTTAAGAGAACTCGAGTTTTTTATTTATACACTTTACTTATTAGATGATCAATTATTGTTTCATTATTTATTCATTTATTTTTGGCTTTTGATTATACCACTATATAATCCTTATTATGACCATCCTAATGACACTGTAGTTATAAAAATATAAAAACAAATTAAGTTTACACATAGACTTACAAAAGCATTTTAATATCCACTGTATTTTATTACCTTAATGAGCAATTGGTAAAACAATTTGCTTCTAAAATTCAAAATGCTTCTCCCTTACTGTAGGGAGCACTGTAATTCATTTTTTATAATTTTTTCCCCAAAGTAAGATCTTTACAACTTTAGAAAATTTAACAAAGTAAATATATTTGTATGACAATATTTTGGAAAGTTATCAAGTGAATTATACATATATGACAATTTGTAAGGAAGTTTATTTTGAACATTCTTTCTTTCTTTCTTTCTTTCTGTTATTGAGTTGGAGTCTCACTCTGTTACCCAGACTGGAGTGCAGTGGCCGCCTTGACCTGCTGGGCTCTGCGATGATCCTTCCTCCTCAGCCTTCCAAGTAGCTGGAACTACAGGCACGCGCTACCACGCCCGGCTAATTTTTTGATTTATTGTAGAGATGAGGCTCGTCAAGTTGCCCAGGCAGGACTCGAACCCGCGGGCTCAGGCAATCCACTCACCTCAGTCTCCCAAAGCGCGGGATTACAGGCTGAGCCACTGAGCCCGGCTTGAACATTCTTTAACTATTCATCTTTTAAAAGTAAAGATGATGACTTTTGTTATATCAGATTTATAATAAGATATAAAACTTTGAACTCAAAATTTTAAAGGAAAATAAGCATTTAGAAGTATAATAAGCTATTTTTCATCTTAAAAGATAATTCTAAATAGCTTCTTGTTCAAAAAATCTATGAATGCTTAAAAATGATATAGAATACAAAAAAAATTCATTTTTTCCAAAAAAAGATACACTTTTGAACTATATAAACTATATGAGAAAGAAGGAAACTAAGTACAGCAGAGTGTTAACAGTTGACAAATCAAGGTAAATGCTATTCAGGTGTTAATTTCACTTTGTTTTCAACATTTCTTTGTATTTGAAAATCTTCAAAGTTAATTTTTTAAATAAAGAGACATATTTGTTGAGTTCATCCTATATATTCAGCATATGCTAAGTGAGAGGTGTGATATAAAGAAAATAAAAACTGAGAAAACTACTTTAAATCTGAATTTAAGAACATATAATTGGTAGAGACATTTATGTCAGAACTATTAAGCATATAATGTTCGTTGGTGGGAAGAAAAAATAGCACCATAGTTTATATCAAAGTCAATCAGTGTTACCTTTATTATAAATTTTATATCTATATATGAAGAAACAGTATTTTGGGACAAAATACACTCAGTGCTTAGACACATGAGCTGTTACTTGAGACTTCATTCTATACTGATTTCACATGAATAATAGCCATTAAAAAGACTTTAGAATCTTTAACTCTATGGTGTAAGTGACCAAGTCGATCCTTAAAAAGATTAATTGATCATTAAAACACTAGTAAGAATTTTTCTGAAATATTTTGGTTTTTAACTATTATTAATGCACTATGTTTCCCACACCAATTATTGAGGCCCTTTTGTGAAATTGTTGTAAACACCAGTCATTTCTCTAATGTGGGTTGGGCTGAATCTTTGATGATAATTGGTATAAATACTAGATTTATTAAAAATTATAAGTTTTCTAATTTTTTAAGTTTTCAATCGTTAATTTAATTTCTTAAAATATTTAAACACTTTGATAACAAAATATTATTTTGGAAAAATAATCTTGATATTGGTACACATCAAGTTTAATCCATTTATCCCAATTTGTAACATGTTCCAAAACAAAGTTCTTGTTTTAACCAATGCTATAAAACTAATAAACAAATACCCGTTTGGAGCCACTAGATGGCAACCCTATGATACCAAATAATACCATATCCAGGGAAGGTTATCTGTGCAAAAGAAAAGATGGTATACTTCCAGTTTTACCTAATTTCTCATTTTTATACTCAGATAAAAGAAAATAGTTTGTGAACAATTCAAATAACACAATATGACTGTGTGAATTAAGCTTCAAAGGGGCTAGACGGGTGTTAAAACCTGTTAGCAATATAAACAGAACCAAATGTATTTCAGTTTTCCTCAGAAGAGAATCTCCTTTCATATCTTCTAATGAATGAAACAGTTAATTCATAGTAATTGATAAAATTATGTCTGTCAAAATACTTTCCTAATAAAATAAAAGGGAAAAATATAACGTATGAAATAACATTAATAAATTAGAATAAATCTTTAGAGACTATTATTATCTAATAGTAATTAAGTATACTCAGAGTAATTATGATTATTAATATTATTCATAGTAAATACATAGAATTTAACTGAAATTTTTACTTTAAAGTGATAACTATTTGTTATTAGGAAAAATTTGTGATTCAACATTATCTTATATAGCAATATATAAAATATAAAAGATATATTATCAATCAATATATCTTTTACAGAATCAAAAATAACACCTGCATAAATCATATTTTCATGGATTGAAAAAGAAAACATTTTATATGAAGAGCAAAATATGTTCTAAGGTTTCAATGACAAGAACAGAACCTCCAAAGGACTTAGTTTTCTATATCTATTTAATAAAGGTACCACCTTGGCCATAAATTTAACTAATGCCTAATCTGTTTTCTATATTTTGAATATTAATAACAAACAATTTTGATGCCATATATTATTTTTTATTGGTGTAGTGCTAACTTCTTGTGGTAATTGATGTTAATTTTAAGTGGTTAAGTATGGTTATACTTAAACAGTAAAACACATTTGCAAAGTATTTGAATAGGTGAATATAACTTCTTGTCATGCTCAACAATAGTCTCTATGTACCAAAAATAATAATAATAATAGTGGAAATAGTTCTGCAGTGGAAATCTGTCAAAGTCTCTAGCTCAAAATTTGCTGTATGACCATGGCAATACCGTTCAAATATCATATCCTCAGTTATCTGTAGAATCAAGGAGACCTTCATGTAATTTCTGGACTTAAAATTGAAATTTTATGTTCTCTCTGCTAGTCTTTTGCCTGGAATCCCATGCTTTCCTTTCCACCTCATGTCTCGTTTTTCTGACTATTGTCCACTTTGTCCATGAAACCTTTCCTGAGAAAATTTTTGTTAGTTTAGTGATTTCTAGTACCACCACAGCCACCATATATACTTCTGTTACTATATTAATTGATTCCTTATGTGTTCAACATTACGCTTCATTAATCTCTAGAATACAGAAGATGTTCAATAAATATTTGTTGAGTCAATGAACAGTTTAATGAATTAACAGTTGAAAATAAAGTACCTTTCAGGTGTTAAAAAAAACCCTATGAAATGCAAAGAGAAATACTCAGGATAAGACTAATGTTTTAAAAATGTTTCAAAGAGATACTATCAAAAGAAAAAGGAATTTATATGAATAACAAAGATGTTTGATTTTTTTGTTCTGTAAGGATCTTATGTCATTTATTAATTTTAACTTATTAGCACAGAAACTTTATTTTTCCTAGAATTTGTCCCTAAGAATTTCAGCTCAAAGGACATTATATTAACATTTTGATTAAAAGACTATGTCTACACTAAACAGTTTATATTGAA